CCACAAATAGGCCAGATGAAGAAAGCCAGGATGAAGTTCAACTGTTCATACACCATCTGAAAATGAAACTGCTGCCCTTGCTCCATCTCTTCCACCCTTGCGAAAGACCACAGCAAAACTAACTCCCCAAGATAGATTCAGAGAGGCTGATTCAGGAGCACTATAGTGAATAAGCCCACAGAGGACAATCTTGGAGGGAATAAACAATTTCTTTTCCACTTAGGAGAAGAAATGAAGGAAATTACTCACAAGTGGCTTCTAAGACAACTCAAATTAGAAATGGAGCAGCTAGTATTCAACTTTCAGCGTCAACAGGCAGGATTAAATGAACCGTAAAATCTCATACTAAAATCATGAGGCATATGCTAGAAAACTGAATTATTGTCTTTATATTTTCATTTAAACTGTTTCATAGTTGTTTTATTTAAACATCTGATCACAAACGTTTGGTGTAGTTTGAATTTTAATAAATTTATTAAGCATAAATTCTTTTTGCAATCATACAGGATGGAGGTTAATCTAATATGCCGTGAGACTAAATTGTTCTACTAAGTCTAATTAATGAAAGCAGAAACAGACTTATGTAAATGTGATTGTGACACTACTTTTAACTGGGAAAGGTGTGTATAGGTATATTTCGATATTATATAGTACTGCATTCTTTATTGATTGTATGGTAACTATAAAGTTTTGTGTTATGTGAAACAAATTGCTTAGATCCCCAATCTAAATAACCATCAATCTATGTACTCATTAAGTGAATAATTAGATTAGTTGACTCCTAACTACTGATAATTTACCATCAAAATACATCAATGTTAACCACAAAATAGATAAATGAGGCCTGTTGTATTTTCTGTACCAATGGAGTTTTCTATACATTAGAATAAATTAAATAAAGATGATTTTGGAAACAAAATTAAATATTGATACCTATGATTGTTAATGGTTATCATATTTTACTGTGTTGTCATTCTTTTATTGTTCTGAGTATAACAAATGTTATATTTGGGATAACACTTTTTGAGTAGATTCCCTACTTTTTGGGGTTGGTTTACACTTGTCAGAGGGGTACACAAAATATGTGATCTAGACTACCAGTTGTACGACATCCATGTTGTGGCTGTGTTTGTTACATTTGACCACTTTCTAAATGGCATTGTGTGTTCATTGTTCTGAGTAGTCTGATTTCATCAAATTTTAATGTAACACAGACAAAAGATTAAATTATCTATGAAAGAAAACATATTCCCTTCCAAATTTCCAAACATTTCAACTGCCCTTGTTCAGGGAAATCCCTGCCTTCTAGATGCTGTTACACTCACTGGTGTGACATATTTTCATTCTTTCTGTTAATTATTAATACGTAAGGATAAGATATATGGTTGAACAACTTCTTTATTACATTAAAGAAGTTGTTCCACCTTAAATCTTACCGCTAGCCCTCCAGGTCGTTGCCTTTCCATGGACTGGGAGGGAATGTTCGATTAGGCATTTCCTCCTGGAAATATACAGAGTTCTGAAGAAAACAGAAGAGGAAGACTGTGTCATAATTCTAATAGACCCAGCATGTACCAACAGGGCTTGGTTGCTGTAGTTACTACCCCTCCTGATAGAAGAACCTCTGAAACTCCCAGTACATCACGATCTACTGAGAGAACTGAAATCAGGCATATTTTACGGCCGCCTCGACAACCTCCATCTTCACTCTTCGAAGTTATCTCATTTATATAGGGACATGGCTCCATTATGACAGGCTCGAAATTAAGACAAGAGATATTATTTGGATGAAATCGTCGCAGATGTGGTGGTACTGGTTGACTGCAGAAATGAGCTTAACCCCTGTTAAGCGACCCAAATTGCAGCAACTGCTGCCCTGCAACAACCATTGCCAAGCAACCCATGTTGCTATGCAGCTAGCGCTGCCAGGCAAGTACCATTGCCAAACCATGAGTGAGGGCAACTATTGTTGCCAAGCTGACCATTCGCTGTAAAGTGGACACTAAGCCATCTGCTGTAAAGCAGCATGGATAAATTGGTTCCTGCTGTAAAGCGGGCAACCCTATCCTATATAATTTATAATTTTGGATGTATCCAAAGACGCCAAAGTCCACCAGCACCCCGCCCATCCGCAACATTTTATTCATGACAACATCATTATGTACAAACATAATGCTCCAGTAAAGTTCCACCAAATTGACAACTGCAAAGCTTGAATAACTTGTAATTAAGGATAACAGGGTGGGTTGGTGGGTGCAAAAAACTATAGATGAATGCGCTAATATAACTATGTGTTGTACAGCTGAAAGCTGGAGAGCAAGTGCTGCATGAGCTGATGCCACGCTACAAGAAGTCATAGAAAATATAAACAAACGCTCCTATACTGGACGTGCCAAGAGCGGATCTAGGCCAGAGACGATGGCACCATGCGAATCAGCACGTAGCTTCTTGGAATGAAGGTATTTAGCTGTAATAATATTAGCAATGGTGCCAAGCCTGACATAAAGGCATTTAGTTCTAATCACTAAATGCTAATAAGATGCAAGCCGCCGGTTACTCTAAATCAGCTGCACAAAGTGTGGCAAGCTCATGGAGACCAGCATCATCTGCCCTGTATAATAACAGATGGGACACGTTCGTTGAGTGGAGAAGGAGAAGAAATTTATTAGAAGTGAAGATAACCATACCAATAGTTGCCGAATGTTTGCTATATCTTAGAAACAAGAAATTCAGACATGGCACTACAGATGCTACAGATCTGCCCTGGCATCAGTATTACAACATGACGACCTATTTATAGGTACGCACCCAATACTGAATCAACTCATTTCTTTGCACTGGAAGACATCAAAATACCACATATCTTTCCAAATGGGATTTATCTATGGTATTGTCAGCATTGATGAAACCACCTTTTGAGCCCATGAGGAGTAAGACATTACTATTAGTTTCCAGGAAAACTGCTTTTCTCCTCGTGTATCAGAACTACATGTACATGCTATTGACATTCCCACTGTAACTCATAATCAAGAATGGAAATCAGTATCCAGTAGCCAAAAACCAGTCATCGACATTTGGCCCACTCAGTCACATGCAATACACGATACCAGCCTTAAGTAAAAGTGTGGACCATCAAGACAGATTACTTTGTTCCATAAGAGCCTTGAAATACTTCATAACAGCTACTCAACACCACAGAAAGGAGAGAAAATGCCTTATTATCTCTTGCTAACCCTCATTGGAAAAGGACATAACCAAGGGTACTGTATTGGAAAGGGTCAGAGTGACGGTTGCAGATAGCTACAAACTGGCCCAAATCTCCAAAATCATATATCTTGCAACAAGCCTAGCCACATGGAATACAGTATCCACTGACCAAGTCGTTGCTAGCTGCTAATGGATGTCCCATAACCTGTTCTATCTATAACATTTACTGATCTGGATGGACAATACACTTGGGGATTCCTCTTCTGAGGAACTTGGGGGTGGGGGGGGGGGATGATGTGTGGTTGAGGGGTGAAGATTACAGACTACCTCATGAACACGTTGGCTTTTGTTCTTTGTTTGCTATTGTATACTAGGCAAGTCAAGTGGCAACACTGAAATCATAGATCGATGGGATGTAAAATGATATACGGTATCTACATGATAATGTAGGATGTATGATGTTCTACAACCGGAAGTTATGTCATGGGAGTCTTCAGAACCAATTTGTAGCCTAGAAGTGGTGATACTTCTGGAAGTGACGTCATAGAAGATATATAACCGCAAATGATGTCATAAGGAATTACTAAACCGGAACTGACGTCAGAAGTGATGTCATCACCGGAAGTGACATCATAATATGTCTAAGTATCACATTGATGGCTAAATGTTTAATGTATTAGTAATATGAGGTCATTTATGTCTAACCTAGAAGGTTATTAGACGTATCATTTTGTTTTTTGGTTCCTTTTTTAAACATTTATTTTGGTCATACTTCACAAAGCCAACTATCTACGGGATACTAGATACCAGATCCGACCGGTACCTCTGGTGTATACTGTCTGTATGTAATAGAGGTAGGTTATTCACAAACATTATCTAGCAATAGTTATCATAATTCTAAGAATACTACCTCTATTACATCAGGAATCAATCCCTCCCACCTTCCCGAAATATCTGCATCTAGATGATGAGGGTTATGTGTTGAAAGAAGTAAGATGTTCCTGCCTTGTGCTTGTGCAGTCATGGTCCCTGCAACGATAGGGCTTCCCTCACGACTATTAGATATGTTGCCAGTAAAGAGGACGTCTGTTTTGAACATTTATTAAAATGTTGTAGTGTGGTTCTCAGCATAAACAGAAATTTTTGGTTATGATATAATACAGGTTGTATTCTTAGAATTATACACAATGATAACAATTGTTAGATTTTGCATCAATAATCATCCACACGAACAGCTCAAGAGAAGGGATAGGAAGAGAAACAGTGGAAACTCACATACTGAATAACAGTTACATGTGTCATTATGTCTTTGAGAGGTCTTCAAAAGTTTGAACAGTAATGTGTGTATGTGTACTGGACCAATTTGTTGTTTTAAGCTGTAATTTGGGCAGACAAACAGAGATAGTTTATTTAAGTCTAATCTAAGGTTCAGCAATAATATAAGCAGGTTAAAACATTACAAATGTACACTGCCAGAGACTAGTATATATACAGAATAAAACAATACCTTCTTTCTTCACATGAAAGTTTAAAAAATCTGTTTAAAATATGGACATATAAAATTCAAAGTCTGAATTCATAATTCAGGCAAGCTCCAGAGCCTTAAGGTTCTGTTACTATGCTTTGAACTGTTGACTAAAACTGCAGGTTAGATACATTGTCATCGCACTATATTGTGGATCATTCATGCAACATACCACCAGTTTACCTGGCCCTGAAGAACCTGGAATATTGAGGAATGTATCATTAAATATCATTAACTCACTGACTCACTTGTGACATTATATATTCAGCATCTGAGTTGCATGCCACTCCATCATGCAATTCAGACAAGGAAACCCAAAGAACCAAGGCAGGTGAACTCTGACAGTGGGATCAGTCAGCATTCCAGTCAAGATCAAGGTAGGACATTCGTAAATAATTATTACCTTATCTGAACTGAAACATCAACAGTTTATCTGTCTATCAGTGATATTATTTCAACATTTCCTCCTACGAGGTTGCAAAGAATTTTGATCTGAGTTTATACAACAGCAGCCATATAAAAATATCAAATGCCCATTACCTTTTTGTGCCATTTCTATAGTAGCATTATTGTTGCAGAGGATGAAGCCTCCAGTTGAGATTCAAATAAAATATGTCATCTTGAATACTTTTATTAATGCATGATGAAACATGGATACATACAGTTAGAAAAGCCATTCAATTCTTGCGCAGGTTCATGGATCATTTTAAGGTTCAAGCGTATGTGGTTTTCACTGTTTACAAAGTCGATTGACCCAATCACTCTAATGTATAGAGCAGAGGTTAAGAATTATTAAGCAAGAAAAATGGGAATGTTTGCGGAACGAAACTGGTCCGAAAGATAATACAAAAGAGGATTGCTTTACCTTATGTACTTTCTCACAATTATGGAATTTGCTTTGCAGTTAGTGTGTATTGTATTTTTATCCCCCGCCCAACAGAGTTGGCGGGGGATATAGAAACGGGCTCCATCCGTCTGTCCGTCCGTCACATTTCGTTTCCGGAGCATAACTCATAAAACGTTCAATATTTTTTCATCAAACTGTCAGGTACAGGCTGAACTGGTGCCTTTTGCTATTTAGAAATTTTAGAAATTTTAATTTTTTATGTTTCCATGGCAACAAGATGGACTTAGGTTCTGTTAGGGTAGGGTTCGTTTCCGGAGCATGACTCATAAACCGTTCAATATTTTGTCATCAAACTTTGCAGGTCTGTCAGGTACATGCTGAACTGGTGCCTTTTGCTATTTAGAAATTTTAGAATTTTTTATTTTTTACGTTTCCATGGCAACAAGATGGACTTAGGTTCCAAACTCTTTCTTTTTTTACAATTTCCATGACAAGTTCCACCTCGGTTAAAAAAGCTTAGGGTTTGTTTAGATTTAATTATGTCATAAATTCTGCAACAGGGGCGGGGGATATAGCCATGTTAGTGGCAAACTCTTGTATTGTTTGTTTGGGGAATATTTTTAGTCTGACAGCCATGACCTTTAACAAGTGCAAAGGAATAGTTTTAAATTTGATATAAATGCAGTAAATATCGTTGTAACAGCGGTTCACATTGGAATCACCATGCAGACGCTATTGGAACTGAAAGCATTGGCAACCAACCAAATTCATTCATATCTGTTGAATTCTACATTTCGCAGCACTACAATGACACTTACTGTCATCACAGCAGGTTAAATATGGCTGACAGTAGAGGTGAAGAGAAACCCTTGTTCACAGAGAATGTAATTCAAATTCAGAAGTTAATGCATATTGAACGTACTGTAAATTATGATTTCCCCATCGGTATAGATTATTCATTTTCAGTAAAAATGAAATGTTTTGTATGCATTAATTGATGTATTTCAGTGGAAGTCGAATGAAAAGCATACCCAGGTGCCTTTTGATAGTTTGTGATTTTTAACAAAATTATTTTTTGAGTTTCCATGGCAACGACTTTGATTTAGACTGAAAATGGAGGTAGTCCTCGTTTCCGGAGCAGATCTTAAAAACCATACCATATTTCTTCACCAAACTTGGCACATAATGTCATCTCACAGTATTGAATACATTTCCTTTCTTGTAGGTTCTGCATTGCTTGAGTGTATGTTCCTCCAAAAGTGTCATGGACACAGTTGCTGCATTCACTGACTAACTTCATGCAGAAACACAACTCATTACAAATACAACAGTGTAACTGATCTTAAACCTACTGTAAGATACTGTATAAACTGTATAAACACTATATATTCTTGTCAACCATACTCTGTACTTCACTTGCTAGATAAGGTTGTTAGAACCTACACCGAAACCATCGCTCCTAATTGTAATAAAGAAGTTGTTCGTCCATATGTCTCATCCTTACTCATTACAAATACAGTTACATATTCTATCATAAACTGCAGATGCCAAAACAACACCAGTAACAACTTTTTTTAGTGCTGCAATTAGGCCATTTACAAAAAGGCCCAGTGAACATAGTTCACAGGAGCTAATGCATTGCACACAACCGGAGATGTCATATTGGCGGGGGATGTGAGTATTTCATGTTTGTTCAAAATTCTATCATTCAGTGTCAACATTAGGCAATTCCTCTGTAGCTGATTGGCACTTAAACAATGATATTAATTTATATGTATTCTAATAACATACACTAATACCAGATAACAATGTGTGTGTTTTGGCTACCCCACAGTTGCCAAGATTGTTGGGATCTGGTGGACAGATGGGCAAAATGTCAGACATCTTCAGCCTGTTTGGAGACCATACCTGACTACTGCCCATTTACTTGTGATAACTGATACAAGAAAAAATGTCTCCCAATACAAATAACAAATTTTGATGCATATGAATACTAGTTTCTCAAAGCCATGGATTTTATGCTATAATTTATAGTCAAGACTTTGAGACAGACAATCCAAAAGATATTCCTTCACATGTCACATTATTTGTTTATCACAGTCAATCTGATAAGGATTCATTTCATTCGCATAGTCAATGCATTTGGAGCCTATGCGGAAGCTATGCTACCAATACACCTTCATTTCAAACCCATTCAATGCTTTTTATTCAACTAGATTGGAGGGCCAGATTGGTACTTGTTACATACTTTCCATGAAGACAAGACAAAACAATTTATTCAATATGGAGGCCATTGGCCTAAAATACAGACATGTAGAAGTTAAATTTCTAAGCGCTATAATTTATATATATGGTACTAGGAGAAAGTACTTAAGGGTGTAATTAGTAGTTTTCATTGTATGCAGGAGTACATTAAGTGCTAATAAACATATTTCTTATATTTTGCACGTTTAATAGGTGTAAACAGAGATCAGTTATGGTTTGTGTATCTTAAGTGTTCATTATAATTCTTGCAAATACTCTACCTCTATTACATCATTGCCATAAATCCTGTTTTGTTGCTGCAGTCACACCATACTAAACTTTCAGATGTTCAACTGGGGTCCTCTTCACTGCTTACAGCTCTTCTGTGCTTGGAGGTGGGAAAACCTCACTTCTCTCCTGTGTGCTCTCCTGTGTGTAGTCTACGTAATTTTCTCTAGCACTTGGCTGTAGTCACACTATTCTAATATGTTCCAGTATAAGTTCCAATCCTACTAATGTATTACTAATTTTATGGGCTTGATTCGTATGTATTAGTAAGTGTTATCTTGCGATCCTTTCACAATGGCGTCCTTTCTTCCTCAGTCAGCATGTCACAAATGTGGCTGATTTATGATATCAAGCGACCCTCACATGGAGTGTTTGAAGAGCAGAGTGTCAATCTTTAAAGAGGTTGATCATTGTCCCCTCTCTCTCCCTGTCTCCAAGAAAGCTTAAAACCAAGCTAAATGACGCTATCACTGAGGCTAAAAGAAAGGATGTGGCCAAGAGAAAGGTTGATGAAATTATCTCCCAGACTGATAAACAACCTACCCCTCCGCGGGATCAGCCGTCTGACTCTCAACAGTCTTCTGTGCTGCCAGCACATGAAGAGTCTTCTGTCGCTCTGCTAGAGCAATTATTTGCTCCCAAAAGACGATGATGACCTTGCTGTTTGAGTCTTTCGGGTATATGGTCTTCTAAGCTTCTGTTAAAGAAACAACTCGGCCACTGTACAGTGCCCGCTTAGGCCGCTTGGATTTTCGATCGGTCATGGGACTATCTACACAACAGTATGACTTCGGCCACACAACTGGAAGCTTCGGTTACACAACTGCCAACCCGTTGACAGATCAGATCAGATCATAGACACGGTTAGACGATGACTTGCACGGGCATTGTGTGGGCTTGATCACTTGATCCTAGTTATAGTCTCTCACGGCTACAAACTACACTTCCAGACCTGATCTCTTCTCACATATCAACCCCGAGGAAAGGCAAGAAATTAAGAGCAGCCAATCTTGCCATCAACACATTATTCTTGAAACGAGTTATATGCATACTCCTGGACAAGGATGTTAGCAAGGGCTTTTATTCTCCAGTATTCCTAGTACTTAAGAAGAATACCACTAAAATGAAAATGATCATGGACCTCAAGATTCTGAACAAGGATTTTCTCATACCTCCTTCCAGATGGAAGACAGAAGCTAAGATCTACGCTGTATCAGGGAGTTTTGGCCTACGGCATAGATCTTCAAAAGACCTATCTCAATGTGCTGATTCATCCCTTATCTCAGAAATACCTCTGGTTTGCTTCCTACCCTTTGGAATCGCGATTGTCTCATGGGTGTTCACCAGAATAATGGCAAAAGTGATGAGCTATACCCATCTCCTTTTAGACCATCTTCCCGAGGCAAGCAAGTTAACTGACTATCAATCAAAGTCCAGTTTCCACCCTTGCCGAACTAGGCTGGTATTATGGAGTTACATTTTGGCTGGACTAACGAGTCTATGCATCGTCCCATCAAAAACGCGCAATGAAATCGAAATCCGGGTCGTAAACTGTCTAGCAGATTTTGGTCGATTGCAGGATTTGCAAAGCATATGTACCCCCAACTCAATGTCAACAGATATTTTACAAATCTTTATCATGTTTTTAATCAAGGCACTCACATGATTTGATGCATTTTGCGATGTAAGACCCGTTTTATCACAATATAGATCTTGAGTTTTGATCAGATCATCTTGACTGGGCACCGATGTTTTGTTTGAAGCAAATGCAAGTGATACGAGAGGTGGAATATGAATGATCCATAGGAGAAGCTTAGAAGGGACATAACTTGTAATTAAAGCTGCTAGCAGCAATGGCGGGCTCCAAGTAACACTGCGCACAAAAGTCCATGTTCGAATCCTTAAAGGGTTTCCTTGTACCAAATCCGTCGAATGTAGGCACCACTCATGTGCAGGGATGTCCAAGTCTGTTCTAAACCCATTTCCGACCTTAAACAT